GAGTGGTGGTCTAATGAAAGATGCCACTGAGTTCCACTATGGGAACTGGAGGATCCAGTGTTTCAGGGGTTTAATACGTACTGAAAGTCAGAACAGCTCAGCCTCTGCTGCTTTGATTTTGACCGTTCTTTATTGAATCTGTCTCCAACAACTCCATCATAAATATGTCAGGCGTGTCTCAACTATTGTGTAAACTGTTAACACCAATCCAACACTGACAAAGCATTTCACGTGTCTGTGTGGAACGCTCAGAGGGTGCACTGTAGAATCTGAGCTGTTATCCAGTGGAGTAGCTTCAGCATGTGACTCATCAACATCAGAATGCACTTAGTGACATCACGATGCATGTTTCGTAGTCACGCAGTCACAGGGTCAGATAGGAAACACTTGGCTGTATATGCAGAAACAAAGGATAATGCTGAAACGTGACACCTGAGGATGTCATATGAGTGTGACTGTGTGATGAGTCTTAGGGGAGAGATGGGTCATTTCCATCTTTCTATCTTCCCCTTTGAATCAGGGCTCCATCCACCTCTGACAGGTACAGCACTAAATGGCTCCTCCAGGCTCTGGTGGTTTCCGACTGCGGTCACACATCACAAGTACATGCATATTTAGATACACATACACAGAAATGTGTGAATGCCACACGTCAGAAGCCATCTGCCTAATGTGCACCCCCTCCCACACACACACACCCACCCAACCCCCTTCCAGCCAAGCAGAGCCCACGATCACACTACTGTTGGCTAACCCATCAAACGTCTTGTGTGTGCTGGTGCGTGTGTGTGTGTGAGCTACTCATATTAATAAACACACAGCAAGACAGCACAAAAGCAGACTCACACACACACACATCCAAACACTCACCGCCTCCGAGTCTTCAAATCCATGCAGGTACAAATTGTCATACATGGAGGTTTGATATTCCAACGAGTGCCTCTAGAAGAATGAGGGAGAAAAAATGAGTGGTGGTGGAGGAGGAGGCACCACAGAGGAAAAAAAGATGGATGGAGGGGATGACGACAATCCCGTCTTTCCACAGCAGAGAAGAATAATTTAAAAAAATATCTCCCCTCCCATTGGATCACGCCTGGTCCTCCATAGGCCTGTCGCTTGGTACAGTAGATGCAGCTTCTCCCTGATCCCACAGTGCTGCTGGCAGGTTCACATCATAGGATGGAGAGGCTCTCCCTGGATGTAGCCAAATCCTGGCATTTCATCTCATCAGGCCACGCACACACACACACACACACCGACACAGACACACACATATACACAGCGCGAGCAACAGAGGCAGCAGCAACAGCAGCAGAGCAGTGGATCCTTCCTCAATATCCAAGCCTGATGACAGAGCCAGTGTGCATGGAGCTGATTGGCTGGCTGGCTGTCCACTCAGCTCTGCTGAGCGCTCTCTGTAATTTTTTCCTTTTTTGTCAGGGGATCGGGGGGGGGGGGGGGGGGGTGCAAAAGAGGGGAGCAGCATACTCCATTTCCCTGTTACCTCTCATCCTCACTCTGTTCATTTATTATCTAGAGAGAGCGCAAAAATATATTGACTTCATCTTGAGAACTGTGTCATGACTGATGTATCTATGCTACTGAAGTAAAAACAGACTCAATACAGCACATGTATTTATGTTTTATAAATATTTATTGCAACTACACGGACATATTTTGAACGTTCCCTCATTGCACCCCACCTGCATTTTTGTTATTATTTATTTATTTTAAAATCATATAAAACAGGACGAAGGATTTGAGTGTTTTTGGCAGTTTGCTCTATAACTAAATAATAGATAAATAATCCAAATTGCTGACAGCAATTTGGTGATGACTGGGTAATCATTTTAAAGCTTTTTAAATATTATCGTAATTCATCACAGCACCAGATCTCCAGGTTTCTGTTTTTAAAATGCAGGATTCCAGTCAACTGAAACAGACTACAGTCATCTGACTGTGTGTCACCAACCCTGGCTACAACATTCAGCTTTCCTCATTTGAAATCTGAGGGGCAGTTTGAGTGTCTCTGCGCATGTAGAGCAGAACTCCAGCCACCGCCCTCGAGTAAAGCACCAACCTCAGAAATGGAGTTGGTTGTTTGGGGGCCGACCAAACGGGATGGTTGTCTAAATAATGGCAGGAAATATGATCAGCACTGAGGGGAAAAAGGCCTTTTTCCAGTTTCCTCCAAACTTTGTATTGACCTCAGCAGTAAACAATACACAACATATACACAACCAAAGCTGAGCAGTCATGTAAAAGCCAAGTTTGGCATCTTACTGAATGATAGACCTCTGTGCAAATAAGAACAACTGCAAACATACAGCAAGCAAACAGGCAGCCTCAGCAACCACCAATATGCGCTCTAGAGCGTCCTAAAAACAATATCAGCACATTGGAAAACAGCACACTACTCAAAGAAAAGGAATATCCAACAAGTGTTACCAGAGTGTCAGAGTATCTGTTCCATATGTCCCATAAAGCCTTCATATGCCTATTAAACCCACTCTTCACACCTGCACTTAAACAACACACAGCAACACACCAACTGTGGGCTGCAGAGTTTAGCGGCCACTTTGTCCCATGACACATCAGGAACGTTCTTGCTTCCTGTACATGTTCCTTTGAGTACCCAGTGCAAAAACACCCATGTGGAATACACTGCTACTACAGTAAAATACAGTACATCTATAACTTTGCTGAAGCAGACCGTTTCCCTTTGGCACTTGGCATCACCGTATAGGTCATGGCAGTGGCCACTTTAAGAGCAAGGGAGACAGAGTCTGCATGTGAGCTAAGACTGAAATAAAAGGACACTTAGAGAAGTAAGGAGCTGCAACTTAAGCGGCTTGAAAATCAAATGTTTTTGACAGACAGTAAGTGTTTCAGGATTTGTCTAAACTGCATGTTTTCCTAATTAAAACAGAGATAACCTGGCAATTAATGTGCACACAAACTCACTTTTAGTGCATCATATTTCAGGTTAAAATCCTGATTTTTCTAAGATAAATCTGCTCTTTCCTCTTTTACTGGAGCCTTTTAAGCATCTACTAGCAGCTAAATGCTGCCCTCTGCAGTCAACAAAGATATGTATCACCCCTGTGTGTGTGTGTGTGTGTGTGTGTGTGTGTGTGTCCTGCTGGCGGAAGTTGTGATGCACATCAGCACATCTCTGTACAGCGCCACTAGCAGTCACACACTCCACAGGGTGCCTTCACCAGAAACAACGTCCAGAAGCTTTACTACAAATGAATGAATCTCTTACAGCAACATCTGACAGTTAAACTCTCACGATTCTCACAAATAATAAGCAGATTACACCCTCTCCTGACTGAAGACACCAGCAACGCTAAGGACACACCTCCAGGTGTTTAAATGAAAGTCATGAATGATGGTTTTCTTATGGATTTAAGAACCTTGTTACCATTTCAGCAGAAAACCATGTGATGCAACATCCACCAATACACAGAGTCACCGCTCTCTGCGTTACACCACAGCTCACTACCTGTCTGAGGATGAAGCTGGTGGAGGTGGTGCTGCCATCGGACCTCTTGAGTCGACTCCTCCTGGAGTAAGTCCCTCGGTTCACCTGCATGAAACACAAGATCTCAAGCAGCAGAAACTCTTATCTACAGCATGTCTCTGAGCTTTCTTCATGAATATCTGTAATGCTTTTCTGTTTGTTATTATGTGAGCAAAGCATCGGGCTAATATACTATCACTTTAGTCATTTGCCTGATGCTCTTTTCCACAAAGATTTACAAGGAACAATATAGTCAAATATTAAAGTTTGTAAGCGACTAGCCACACAGCAGCCTACCCAGCTAATGCATGTAACACTAGTTCCATGTTTGTCTTGCAAATTACTTTTCTACTTACCTCCTGACTTTCTTTCTTTTCCTCTTCCAAATATACCAACAGGGTTCATCTCCAGGGAGCTTAATTAATTATCTGCCAGTGACTTTCCCCATTTCTGTTCAAGTCTCCAGAGTTAATCACAATGTCACAGTTAAAAAGTCAGAACCTACTTCCCTGAATTTATAAAATGGGGCCTTTAATCTGGGTCACCATCTCTCTCTGTCTCAATTCAAGCCAAAAGCCCAAAGCCAAGAGGAGAAATGAAGGATAAAGTTAGCTGAATCTATGAATACCACACTATTAATACCAGCAAGTGGCCTCCAATGATGAATTAGACTGAAGGAACATTAGTTATTAGCTATCTAACAGAGACTGACACACTGGCTTATCATTACATACAGAACCTCTGCCACAAATCTGCTAACTATATGAGGCATTGCTTGGAGGTTCACAGTGCAAACAATAGCCTATTATAATAAAATGCTGCATGATAGAGGAGCCTTGGGCCAAAAGAGCCTTCCAGATAATATCAAGTATCTGAGTGAACTGATACAAGGTGAAAAAACATACAGGGACAATGTACTTACAGTAGGGCATTTGAAACCTCAGCTGGAACTATGTTATACTTCAAATCAGTGTTTTAATTCTTTGGTGTAATTTGAGTCAGAGCAGAAGTGCAGACTAAATAAACTACAACAACAAAATGAACTCTTCTGTGCAGATTTGAGTCTTCAGGAATAAGCCTGGATCTTTATTCTGGGCCAGATATTCAGCCAATAACATCTTAGCATGGTACATAATAACTGCAGGACTGTCCAACATAAATAAATACATTTATCTCTAATAATCAAAAAATCTAATAGGTAAGCATAAAAAGAGCTTTCCACATGTTTACGGGATGTAAACTGAAAATATGAGGTGTCAGCGAAGAAAACGATTTTTAAAAAGTTTATACTAACTCTACAAATGGGTCTTTAACAACCACACATTTATAAACTCCTTATAAATTCGCGCCCATCATTATATAGAGGGGCAGGCCGATTTAATGATATAAGTTCTGAATGTTCATGTGACCTGCTTTCTATGTAACCTGGATGCTTTTAAAGATAGCTCGTGGACATATCTGCATCATTTGAGGAGCCCTGGTTACCTGAAAGATAGGCGCTTGGATGCCCTCGCCAATCTTGTTCCGTATGTAGATGTGTCGGGACATTTCGGCCAGGACATCGGTCCAGAGGGCGGGCTGCTCCGGTCCAGGCCAGCGGAGGGGTGGTGGGTTCCGGGCTGCGTGCTCCAGCTTCACGCCACACAGCAGGGCACTCGTGCTCGGGCCTTCTTTCTCACCGGTACACCTCCAGACAGGTGCTCTACTCGCAGTGCTGCGCGCGCTACTGCACGCGCCGCTCAAAACCAGGTGCGACTGAATGATGGACGGAACTATTTTGGAAACCGGAGGGGGGTGGGCCTTACTTAGTCCTAGAAGTGGGCTGACAGTCTTAAAGAGGAAGCAGGTTACTATCAGAAACAACCAGAAGAAGAAGCATATCTCTCAGACGTATAGCTACGTTTATTGCTTCATATGGGACTCGGGGAATAACCAGGCGTGATGTCATAGCCTCCTCCAGAATACAGTAGCCTACCGCTTTCTTTTAGAAGAAGACGTCCTTTAAGTTGCTTTCACTTAAAAACAAAACCATGCTTAATATTGAGCAGTAATAATATATCAGTAGCCTATAATACCAAGATAAAAGTACAAGAAAGAAAACTAATGCAACACTTATTGCGAGGGAAGTAATGTCAATGTTAGTAGTAAGCTACAGCAAAGTCCTGCAGGGGTCCAATTATGAAAACACACTTTAAGCAACACATGCACTTTAAACTTCCACTGATGCCTATGTTGATGACTGAGGACATCCAATTACCTGGATGTGAGTTGAGGGGTCAAAGGTCATGCCATCAGCCTTCACAAATTTAGGCTTGAAAAAAGTGATGGATTAGATATGTAAAAGAGGCTACACCTTTATTTATTTATCTTATTTAAATTATGTTTATTTCACTTGCTACGGACTCACATTTAGTCTGTTTCTTAACAGTGCCCTTACCCTTGAATTAATATAAACATATTTTTTTACCCATTACACATATTTTTTTGTGGGTACCCGAGCTGGGGCTACAGTAGTACTGTACAGCTAGTTTTTCTGCTTATGTCTTCTCTCCATGTGCCCAGCAGATGGCAGCATTAATTACAATAAAGACGAGAAGAGCTGTTTTGGGCCCTCAGCCACACGCAGAGTGAGATTTTTTTTCGCAATGTTGTTTTTAATGGTATATAAAAAAAACAATATAAACAATGAACACGGCCAGTGTTTGATAGAAAATTACAAATGAAATAAAATATAAAAAATCAATACTAAGAAATGTGGCTTCAGACTGGATAAATATGGAAGCCCATAAGGGACAAAGATAGATAGATAGACAGACATTGAAAATAAATACATTTTAAAATAACCAAAAAAGACTAAATATGCAATTTTCACTTTTATTTCCCTCATATTTATTTATTTATGTATTTGCCACCCACACTATTTCCATATTTATTTATTTATCTATTTTTACATGTATCTTCACATTTATATATTTATTTCCCCTCACGCCTATCTATCTATCTGTGTTTCTTACAGGCCTCCATATTGGCTTGTTGTTCACATCCTACAATACTGACTGATAAGTAACCCAACATCAGAAAAAAAGGCAGCAAAACAACTACAGTGTATCCTCTATCTTTAAACTTGGTTAATCCCCTACATTCTTTACTTTATTTATTTATTTTTTGATATGTCCCCTCTCTCATAAATTTTGGAATGATGTCAGTGATTTCATTACTCAACAAACTGTCTATGATGTACTGTCCTTTGAGAATGTACTATTTGGTTGCATAAATTTATGGTACATTTTCAAAGGACAGTGCAATGTCACAGTGTGCTGAGTAATGAAATCACTGACATCATTCCAATGGGAAACACAACTGGACTACAGCCTCAGATCACAGATTTACAGTGAACAAGCAACAGATCTGACTGAAACTCTGAAGTTCTTCACAAGTCTACAGTTCTTCAACCTCACGTATTATGAGACCATTAATACAACATCTGCACCACCACCTGGGCTCCATGAGCTTTTAGCATGGATAACCAAACCAAACGTATTTATTTATCTTTTTTTACAGTGTACATGATACAAAAATATAGAGTAACAAAAGTCAGTGTCCAGAAGGCAGTGTTTAGTCAAACTGACATCATTCAGCAGAACTTGGGTGCAAAATAAATTTTGGAATCCATCAACAAACAGAGGACATACTGTTTCTAATTTGGGATGGCGGCTGTCGAGGACTTTAAATACGCAATACAACTTTCTAAAGATGAGCATTTCCATTGTCTCAGCCAAATACACACAAACATGTTTGCACAGTTTACACAAAGGTACTGTATATTCATGTAGGAGAGCCAGTGCACGCAGTTCAGTGTACGTAAGCACCAAGACATGGACACACACATTATCAGGGTTGTTTGTTTCATGCTACATAACACAGCAAAAGGTGAGAAACACCTGAATTCTTTTCCTAGTATATACAACTGAGAAACACAAGATACTGTATGCTATATACATTTTACAGCACAGACTAACTTAAATATCAACAGTACTGTCATGAAGTGTTGAATATCCAAACTATTTTTAAACATTTCACATTATTTAGGGCCCCTGTGTGTAGATTTCCTCTAAGACTTTAGCATTATAAATTATTTTCATGGTATATATTCTGTGTAGAAAAAAATGATTCATTAACGCAGTGAGCAGTGTCTTTTTTGATACCAGTAGAAGTGGCAGACTAATTTTCAGCTGGAGAACTTCCAAAATTTCAAAATCATTTTTAAATGTCTTAGTTTCCAAGAGTTTCCTAGCACTTCAGTTAATTAATTCAAATTAACTGTTAGCATAACCTGATAAGCCAGTGGACAATAGGTCAGCTGCACATGCTGCTGTACAAACTGAGTATTCATTTAGTTTTAAATGGGGTAATTCTATCAAAGCACAGTTTTTTTTTCTTCCAGAATACATCCTTCTTGAAAATGACTGGGAATTTATTCTGAAATCAAAGACTATTAAAATAAGGCATTGCCAGCTGTGTATATCATGGGGGTCATGTAACAGACTTGAGAGCATAATGCCTAGATAGCCCACAGTTTGTTAAAACAAGCAACAGAAATGAAAAAAACACATATTTAAACAAGCACAGTAATGTTATCCTGGCTGCTTCTGGTCTGAGCATTCACACCTGATATTGGTGAAAATTCACATATACAGTAGGCAACACATATAGACAGACAACTATTCACACTCCAGTTCAACTAGCCTGCATGCTTTTGGACTGTGGGAAAAAGTGGAGCACCTTGAGAAAACCCATGAAAATAAAAAGACAAATAATGTTTTTGTATGGAAAAAAAGTCCATGAAAATCGTCTTTACCTTTCTTTCCTTAGACCAAACCAGTGTTCAGCATGCTTTATCAAAAACAAATCTCAAAGTTATAACATTACATTGCTGCAAAACATTTTCTATCTAAAAGAGTGTTGTACATTGTGTTTTTGCAGCCACTGTTTTTCTTTTATTTTAGTAAACTATAGAAAACAAGATGCAGAGATTTAAAACCTGCATGAGCAAGTCAGTCCATCACAGTTATGCATATTGTTTGTCGAAGTTATCTTTTTGTTGAAACCTACAGGTACAGCTGTATTGTATTTGGTAACTGTTGGGTAAAAACCTTGATGCACAAACAGGAAAATTTATTCCTTCAGAATAACAAAATAAATCATTTTGTTCAAGCAAATACAAGTGAAGACGCTGACAATAATGTGTGGATTACCACTGATAGAAAAGTTCTCCAGAAATGTACAGGACATAGTGAGGCCTTTCAAAAATGTCCTGTCAGGGTTGCTTTCCGCTGTGGGTGCTGCTAAACATATCATTAAAGCAATAAGTCAGAAAGCAGCAAGTCTCTGTTGTTTTCACACAAAGTGAAGGACACAGTGTGGGGATGTTCTTACAATACATCATCTCATTGGTTCCTTTTTTATCGCTGATATCAGGCAGGAAACACTTAAGACATTTCCAGACTGCCTGTAGTACAGTGTGTAGTATTACTGCATCCTCTGAACTCCATCCATCCATCCATCCATTTTCTATACTGCTTAGTCCCAAACGGGGTCACGGGGGGCTGGAGCCAATCCCAGCTGGCTGCAGGCAAGAGGCGGGGTACACCCTGGACAGGTCGCCAGTCCATCGCAGGGCTAACACGCAGACTAATAACCACTCACACACACTCCTACGGCAATTTAGACACGCCAATCAACCTATGCTGCATGTCTTTGGACAGTGGGAGGAAGCCAGAGCAGCCGGAGAGAACTCACGCAAGCACGGGGAGAACATGCAAACTCCGCACAGAAAGGCAGCTCGAACCTGGAACTGTCTCGCTGTGAGGCAACAGCGCTAACCACCTGCGCCACTGTGGCACCCACCTCTGAACTCACCTGCTAAAATTACATGGAAGTCCCCACAGCAATCAGCAGCAGATGAGTCTCCTCTCAGTCCAGTGGAATCCAGCTGTATACAATGTCTGAAGTCTAGCTGAAGTCCTGGAGTTTGGAGTCCAGCCTTGCTTTCACACTGCTCTGAGCACAGCTGGAGCACCTCAGGGGGAAGTGAGAGGAAGGGGACGCTTGTACTGTAGGTGCTGGTTTCCATTGAAACACGAGTCATCCTTCAGGGGGTAAAGGCTGAAGGATGGCTGTCATTGCGGCATCCTTAGAGATGAAGCTCAAAATTTATAACAAGGACTGCGGCTGACCTGAGTACATGCAGCTCCTTGTTGGTGAACGGTGAACCAGTCACTTCTTCTGCCTCAGACCAAAAAAAAATACAACCATATTTTGCAGAATGGGAGGAAACAAGTAGGCGGCCAGGTTCAGTCACATTAGTATCAGTGTCTATGAATATTGACATTTGTTCATAGGCCCTCACTTTATTTTGTGGAATATTAAACTAGTGGAATATCACTAGTGGAAAGTATCTACGTGTAAATATTCATGACTGTGCTCACTGGGATTTTGTGGGACTGAAGGCAGATAGAACTTTCAGGTGGCAAACAAAGATTTTGTTCATATAACTGGTTGTATATGGTACACACAGATCTTCAGATAAATATGCACACATGCCAGTGCTGTATGCACCAAACTTTAAACTACTCTATATGCTGTAGCAACTCAAAATAAAACAGCATGTAGTAACTGTGCATCAAGACTCAATAACATTTCACTGAGTTGCTACAAACAATTGAAAAACCGGATTGATTACAGTGACTACAGTAAATAATTCTTTTATTACTATTATTATTATTATTATTATTTTAAAACAAATAAAGCCTAAGCTACTTGCACAGCAAAATACTTCTAAAAATAAGCGTAATTGTGCTGAACTGAGGTCTAATAATTTCATGGGAACGTGAGGATGACGAACAGGACAATCTGTAAAAATCCTAGTGTATTTGTTTTTGACTGAGGAAACCTTCGAGTGGTGCTGGAGTTAGAGTCTGACCTCCTCTCAGCTGTGTCTGTAGGTCCTGCAGGGAGAATCTGGATGGAAGTCGTATTTACTCAGGTTGGGGGGGTAGTATGTGGTGGTGAACATATTACTGGAGGGCAGAGGGGAGGGGAAGTGGTTGCATGTCTCTTCGTTCACATGGAGATTGTTCTTGTTTAGTGTCTACAGTGTAGAGACATATATAAAGTGTCTGTTGTTAGATAAAGGCACAAAGTACACTTCTCAGTTACTGTGTCTCTACTGTCAGATAAAAGTGATATTACCTAGAGTATAGTGTCAAGACTATTAAGAATTCATATGAGATGAAACAACAGAACCAGCCTACCTTAAACTCCATGGGGATGTACTTCTCATTCTTTGGTGTGGTGTTGTCCTGCTTGTTGTAGGTGAGATGGTTGGGGGTGCTGGGGTGGATGACTGCAGACTCTGCTGATGGGCGGTTCAGGTGGTAGCAGTAGGTGTAGGCCAGCGCTGACACTAATGCTGCTGCAAAGAAACTGGCTGAGCCCACAGCCACCAACTGGAACAAGGTAAAGGCTGGAAGCAGGTGGAAGAGGCGGAAGATGTGACAAACATGATGGTTAATTACAGTATGCAAGGGAGTGGGTACCATCTCTGGGAACAACAATCTGAGATAATTAACGTTTGCACTGAAGAGATTAAGGAACCTGTGTGACCCTGAGGAATAAAGTAGTCTATGCACAAACCTTCAAGCTGGAATGAGGACTAAAATCCAGACTAAAACTCTAAAGACCCCTTGATTGTCCCAAGAGACCACAACAGCAACAAAAGAATTACCACAAAAATGGCAACAAACACAAGTAAAACTGGCAAAGCTGTGCAATTTTTGGTGTAATGGTGGCTCTAGAGGAAAAGCCATGGGATCACCAAAGCAACAGAGTTCATCCTCTGGGTACCATTTTATAAATTTCATGACAATCAAGCTCTTTATTATGCAGTGCATTAAGATGATCATCTGGCCTAAGAATAGTGCTGACAAATAAAAACCCAAACTGACTGCATAGCAAGATAAAGGAGGAGCGTAGGATGGGTAGTTCTAAACATGCCATCTCAAAAGAAAGTTTTTGGTCTCATCGTGGCTCTAGACAAAGTTTCAAGGATCAGATGAGCAACACATCTTTAGAGAACCATGCCAGTGATCACTGGAGTCTGGCTAGTAAATGCCATATCTTTAAACTACAGACTGATGGACAAACAGAAACAAAACTCCAGAGGGGCAGGCAAGGAAAAACTTGCACCCTACTAGAAGTTACAGTCCCTGTCTGTGGTTTAATTTCATTATAAGGCCAATAATTCATACTGGGTAGCAAGGGGAGTACAGGAGAGCCCGGTACAAGCTACAGAAGTCCATCAGAGCTGCAAAGAGGGCATACCTCCTAAAACTGGAGAGCTGTTACCTGAATAACAACACATACAGCAAGTGGCAGGGAATCCAGGCAGTCACAAACTACAGGAACAAATCAATGATCACAGTCGCCCAGGATGCCACCCTCCCGGACAGCCTTAATACCTTCTACGCTAGGTTTGACAGGCTGAACATGGATACCCCCTCAAAATCCCCCTGTGACCCGGGAACACTGCTTATCAGATAACGCACACACAGGTTCTGAAGGCCCTGAAACAGGTAAACCCCCATAAGGCTGCGGGACCAGATGGTGTCCCCCCCTAGAGTGTTGAGAGCCTGTGGGGATCAACTAGCTAGTGTGTACACAGACATCTTCAACCTGTCTTTAACCCAAGCAGTAGTCCCTCGCATTTTCAAAAAAATCCATCATCGTACCAATCCCTAAGACATCAGACACATCCACTCTGAATGACTTCAGGCCAGTGGCGCTCACATCAGTTGCCATGAAGTGCTTAGAGAAACTGGTCCTCACACACATTAACCACATGGTCCCGGACACTGTAGACCATCTCCAGTTTGCCTACCGCTCCAACAGATCAGTGGATGACGCGACGGATCTGGCTTTATTCCATACCCTGAAACACCTGGACAACAGCGGAACATACGTTAGGACGCTCTTGCTGGATTACAGTTCTGCATTCAATACCATTCGCCCGGGCAGGCTGACTGGGAAGATGACAGACCTCAGTGTACCAACTCCCACCTGTAACTGGATTTTGGACTTCCTGACTGAAAGACCACAGGTGGTCAGAATGGGTACTGACAGAAACTAGCAAGAGAGATCATATCTCTCCCATATTAGCTTCTCTCCACTGGCTCCCTGTAAAATTCAGAATAGAATTTAAAATCCTTCTCCTAACATACAAAGCCCTTAATGACAAGGCTCCATCGTATCTTAAAGACCTCGTAGAGCCTTATCATCCTAACAGAGCACTTCGC